TGGTAAAAGATGGTTTTCAATAGCAACTGAAATTGTTTTGTTATCAGTTTTGTACGCATGGATAATATTAACACGAAATGCATATCTCTAGGGTACACATGTTTTATCAGTGTCACAGGGCTATATAAGCCGGAAAAAGATATAATTGGCTAAACCTTTTTGCACTGATTCTATCATAATGTAACGGAGCTAAATTCGGGGTCTTCCTGAACCTACTGAAGTTCTGCCATATTCTACCTCAATATTCTGACAATATTTGGATTTTCCATTTGTTTCTTTCGGAAAAAAGCTTGCCAAAATGGCATCATTAACACGTAAATGCAAACGTGCCAGGTGTGGCTACAATCATGATGGCAAAAATGTAGAAGAGAAAATGAAACGCAAAACGGGTTGTCAGCCTGGTTCAAAGGTACAGAAGACAAAAAGATTAGCACCACAACGGAATTATGTTAAGCTTCCAGATTTTGTGATTGAAGGAACTAAGACTTGCTCATGCAAGCCACAGATGTACAAGATTCAAAAACTGAGTGAGCTACAGACAGCATTTTTTATAAATTCTTCATATTATTCCCATTTTCCAAGCAGAGAAATCAGACAAGGAACACCTGGTGAAGAAATATCAATAAAATATATTCCATATTACACGAAAATGGTTTTCTTTGTGTCAGTTTGCAAATATTTGCAAAATTGTTTTCCCGGAAGATCCACATCGACTTATGGAAATGGTACTGATCGATTACCAAAAAATGCACTGGTAAGAGTGAGGTGATATCCAGCTTAAACCTTTGTCATGACATTTGCAGAATGAAAATGACATTGAATGGATGTTCAATGCAAAAAAATGTGCTGATGGCTTTGTTATGTCACCATTTCCAACTGAGACAAATAGAGGCCTTGTATAAAGACGCATTGCCAGATGAGAATTCTCCAGGAATGAAAATGTACACAACTATGTGGAAGCATTACAGCACGTTGGCATCTGGAAAAAATTTGGTAAAAGTAAAAAAGTTTATTGTGCAATATGATACTTCCGTTATGTTAGCCTCAGCCAGATTCATCTTGTCCCCATCAAATACGCAATTACTTTCATGTGGTGAATGTAACACTGAAATCAGAAGTACATCGATCACTCTGCCAAAAATCACCCAGACAAGAATTCTGTAATTAACGTACAGACAATATATGGAAAATTTTAGTGAAAAACATTGTAGTAGAACGTTTTTCAAATTGGTAAATGCTTTTACTTTCAATGATATGAAAGCTTTGACTACTGTTGACTATGCAACTGGGATTTGGGTGAATGATTTGATCGTCTGGTTTCTATCATTGATACAACCGATCTAGATATACGGAATGAGTATAGAAACAAAATACTGGTTGTGAATCAACTTGTGAAACGTCATTTGGACAATGAAGCAACAAGCACCAAAACAAAAGCTGTCGTACATGTCAAATTCCCTTTGCTTTCATGGATGATTTGAAGGAAAAAGTTCTTACAGATCATTATCATATACTTGATGGTATTCGTAGTAAAATGAAGTTGTACATGGAGCATCGTATTCGCGTACTCAATCAATAGGTGGAAATTTCAAAGATAAAGCAAACAAAGCTTCGTGATAAATAGTATGATACAGCGTACTGTTTAATGGATTACAAGATGAAGTTTAACCAATTATATTATCGTGAGAAAAGTATAGAGCATTTTGGAAAACGTGGATTGAGTTGGTATGGTACAATGGTCCAAATGCTTCCAACTGTGAATTCAGATGCAAATGATGCAACTTTGATCATAGATATTATGATCACATATCTAGTGAGTATTCAAAGCAGGATCATTTTAGTGTACCCTCAGTTTTGGAAGCTTTACTTATACAGCTGCATAAAGATTTACCGCATATCAAAAAGGTTATTATCCAAAGTGATAATGGAAAGGCGTATCAAATGCACGAGCTTATTGTTGGAATATTACAACTGAACGAAACCAATCCAATAAACATGTGCGGTATATCCATTCAGATACGCAGGATGATAAAAGTTTGATTGATGCTCATTTTGCTTGTACAGTGACCCATGTTTTTAGATATGTGAACATGGGAAGTAATGTTGTATCTCCAACACAGTTATTTATAGCGTTGGGTCCAATGCAAGGTTTAGGAAATGATGTCCCAGTATTGTACTCACTCAATCTTGAACAGCAAGCAGTTTTCAGAAAAATAATAAAAAAAAGGATCAAGTTCTTCAATAAATATTTTACTAGGCAAAATAATATAATTTTTGATGAAGATGGAAAGGCTCATGTCAAAGAATACTCCAGCTTCCCATTAGTTGCAGTGGTTCAATTGCTGTCAGATGTGGTGGAAACTCAGAGCATTGCAGAAAACGGATTCGAAATGGAAGTTCGACATGAAGGCGAAGTTGAACTAGAGGATGAGCATTAAGATCAAATAAAACCTGAAGTTTAGAATACTGATGCTAACAGTATAACAATCGCTAACGGGTAACGCATCTATGTAGATTATCTTGTTCTTGATATGCAGGGAAGAAATTGAAGACGAAGACCTTGAATTTACTGATTTGAGCGATACGGATGATGCCGACAATAAGATTTATGATGAATGTGATGTCAATTATTACCTCTTGTACAAAGGTTGTAATAGTTCCACCAGCTGAAATACGGCGCCGACGTCTGCGATGGAAGAAAAGGGACAAAAAACTCCAGATCTTGCGATGCCTATTGACGATACTATTTGCACAGTTTGCAACAGGAAATTTTCCTCACTGGCATTTTGTGAATATCATGGAGGATCTGTTGAATTTATTCAACGTATCGATGATGGTAATTTTGTTCTTGAACCTGAAAAACGTTACAAATCTTTTCAGAAAGGTTGAGCAATAAGGCCTGTTGAAGGAAAAAAGTATGTTCATCGTTATATAGATAATATGGAGCAAATGTATGATGATAAAAACGTAGGTGATCTAAAAAAAGGTCCTGGTCGCATGCTTGAGAAGTTGAAAATGAAATACCCCTCTGCATTGGATCTACCATCTGAGAGTGAGATTCGTTCGGCAATCAGCGCCTTCATTGCAAAAGAAAAACGAACAGCAAGTGTCAAACTTTCAACTTGTATACGTTTTCTAGATGTGCTTTCAAATATCATCAATGATATTCTTGATGCAAGTGAAAACATTGCACCAAAGGCATGCTATGCAGTGGTCCTGAAAAGATATCAGATGATAAAGTAGGCAAACCCTATCGAAGAGTTTCATGATGAGAAGAAAATAAAAATAAAATCAAATAAATCAAACAGAAAAACAAGAAGGAAAGGCAAGCTACTGAAGGAAGAGCCCAAGGAGGTGTTTCATTATGAATTCTGTGCTTGGTCGAAGGTCAACATAAGTATTTATCCAAAAAAACAACAAAATTGTAAGAGAATTGTCATTTATTTGTATGTGTTGTCATTTATTTTCATGAAAGAAAGAAGGAGAAAGCAAAAGAACAAGAAAGTAATGGAAAAAACAGTCTTAAAAAATATAAACATCCTTGAAAATATTTTTTGCGGTCCTATTTTAGTACTAAATGCCCTATTTCAGTGTTCAAATTTCGTAGTTAACGTTCTGCAGAAATCCGCAATATATCAGGAAATTTTTCCACCCTGCATTACGTGTTAAAATTTAATTAAGTTTGAACTTTGCAACCATTGAAAATTTTAGTTGTTTGTTGATAAACATTTTTTGGAATCACCTTTAACCACAGTTCTGAAGTTGTAAATTACTCTACTAATATCGGTGCACATTTTACTGTTTTTACAGGTGGACTGCCCTCGCAACTTAGCCAAGTCAGTCACAGTGGAATGAAAGAAGAAACAGACTTTTGGTGCCTTATTCTTCCGAATTTCACATCTGTTTATAAATGCAAGATCCATTTTCTCACAAGGTTTAATAACTTGTATGACACATTCCATGTATTCTGCAAGATGATAATGTACAAATACATGAGTATCTGGACTTGTTTGTGTTTTGAATTCAAATACAACAATTTTAATTCTATACTTAAAAAAAAATATTTCAGCTTAGATGTGAATAGTTGAATGATAATTCTGTTTTAATGATGGTATCCATGACACACTTTGAGATTTTGAATAAATTACACGTGTTTCTTTACAGTTGCTGGTGTATAAAGTTTCATCTGAAAAATAAATGTTTTTACCACTTCATGGCAGTCTTTTTATAAGCTCCTTCCACAGCTTTAATTTTCTATTGCTGTTTATATGTTGAACACAAATAATACTATTAGCTGGAAATTAGTAGATTATTTAAAAATAGTTAATTTTTCCAGAGAGGAATGTGTGAAAACTGGTATTCTTAAAAACAAAATTGACCATTAATTGTTTTCTCAATATAATGCAGGCAAGAAAATTAATAAAAAAAAAAAAAAAAAAAAAAAAAAAAAACAAATTCCTTCCTCCTGAAACATATCCACAACTTTTAGTTTTCTAATTGTTTTTAAGTATAGTACAAGAATTTATTTTATGTCTCACGTGAGTGGCTTGTATGCTTTTATTCAAATACAAAACAAAAATAATTGGATCACACATCCACATAGGAATAGTTTTATTTCAGTGGGACACTTTATTTCTTTAACAGTTGAATTATAATCTAAAAATTTCAACTTAAATGGTATTTTGGATGGCCATTTCATGAACAATAAACTTGGTTGAGTATTTCTTCTTTTATTATGTACAAAATATTTTATGCAATTAGCTATAGTATTTGCCAGGGAATAGGAAGTGAATGCATCCCACTTTGGGATAAGATAGGATGGAAGTTTATTTCTTGCATGTATTAAAGTTAACATATATTATTGAAAAATCTTAAAAATAATGAGTGGGAATTCATGTCTCTATGTAAAATAATTGTTCAACATTATTTAAAGTTTGGAAAGAAACAACAAAGAACAAGGTACTATATCTATTTCATTTCCTTTTGGAGGCCATATTTTGTAATTTAATTGTGAAAACAAATATCTGAATTGCTAGCTTACTGAGTGTACCAACAACAGGGATAGAGAATAATGTTAGAATAACTTTGGCAGAAAGCCTACAATATGCGTCAATTGGTTTGAAACTAAAACTTTGAAAGAAATAGTATTTTAAATACACCCTCTGCAGTGATTTGACAGTTAAAAAAACAAAACGGTAGTAGTTGGCGGAAGACTAATTTCAATATCCAAATTGATAACATTTGTTTCTTATCACCCTGTTTGACAGGAAATCGTATCCCACTAGATGTATTGTGGACTTGTGTTAGTAGCAACATCTTATGGGGGAAGAGGACATATGACGTAGGTCTACTAATAAGGAAATAATGGTGGTATATGCATGTGCAACCACTAATAAAAAGAGTTTCTAGACAGCAAGAGTAATGAAAAATTTTAAGCATCCATGAGACATCTTCCACTGTTTTTCAATTATCCTTTACCTCTATGTACAGGGGTGGGAAATCAAAGTGCACAAGTCATGACCTTTTACAGAGTGCAATTCAACTTGGTATTATATATTTGATGTCAACTACTCTCTTCACCACATATTGTTAATTTAGCGACAGTTTGTGGTAGAGGAGAGTAAATACCAAATAATATATACAGTAATACTGAAAAAACCCTGTAAATATGGATTTTGGACGTTATAGAAGTATTGAATGCAATATGCAAATTGTACTATTTTTATTCATTACATGAACATCACTATGCACTCCGACTTGTCAGTCAGACTGATATCGTCAATTTACAGACATATCTTTAGTATTAATAAATTTGTAACTCATCTCATTTTTTGTGTACGACAGGCTTGTACATTTTACTACAAGCTTCCCACATTTCATGTAGATACATGTAAATTCAGAATTGTTTTAATTATTTTTCCAATATGGGGTTGGTCCAATGGACTGAGCCCATGTTCGTTTGGTTAATGTGTCGGAGGGCTCCCTTCTTGTAACCAAGAGGAATTGGTTGAGCTTTCAGCATAGTATACTGCTTAAGTAGAATATGTATATAGCTTTGATCAATGCAGACAGTAATATTTAGATGGGCAAAAAATTGAGTAGGGCAGAGATAGAATTTGGAAACCATGACAATCCAACTTATCCAAATAGAAGAATCCAAAACACGTTTAAAATATTAAAATTATGATCAAAAACACCAAACTGAAGCCATAACAGTTTTGACGAATAAATGTATTTTTGGGAAAGCTCAAAGTTTGTATCTTTTCTGTAAATTGAAGACAAAATTCAAAGTGAATTTCGAATTCTGATAATAGTTGCGGATTTGGCAGTGTGAGAAGTGGGCTGAGATAGACTGTCCAGTTGCCTTTGTCCCAGTTCTGACTTTGGGCGAATCTTTCATATCTCTCCAGGAAAGCATCCATGTCATCTTTCTGTTCGTCAAATTTGAGCAGCTTGCGTCGGCTGGCTCTGACTCCATTGTCATTTTTGGGTCCTTTTTCCTTTGGTTGGGTGAGTTTTGCTATCTCAGTTTGTGCTCTTATTTTCTCTATTTCTAGTCTCCCCCCCCTCTATCTTTCTCTTTCAAATTGTGCTCTTATTCTTTTTCTCTCTCTATTTCCAGTCTTTCCTTGCTTTCATTTTCTTCCCCCTCTCTCTTTGTGCTCTTATTATTTCTATTTCCTGTCTCTCTCTCTCATTTTCTTCTTTCTCAGTTTGTATTCTCATTCTTTCTATTTCTTCTTTTAGTTTTCTTCCTCTCTTCTCTCTCAAGTTCTTGTTGTTTGACAAACTCTCGTAGTTCACTGTCTTTTAACCCAAGACGCTCTCCAATTTCTTTCAATTTATCAAAATTTGACATGGTTATATAGCGTGATTGTAATATCCACACTATTTGCGATACTACTACAGTTGTACGTATTGTTGCAACAGCGGAGGTCACGTGACTAGTATCACACCACGTCCTTCTCGAACGTTCACGTCCCTTCCTTAATTGTCGAGAACCTACTAGATAAGTCGTAGTCTTGTATATATAAACCGGTAAGAACTGAACGTGAGGTAATGTGTAATAGAACTGAGTATTGTTGAGTCGAGCACGTGAGAGGTTCATTGAGAATTATAGCGTTTGTTATAGCGCGACTGTTGAAATTAAGTGTATCGCAAAGTTATGTTCAGAAAGAATAAACCAGTTTTATTTAAAAAAGGACTTCTATCGGTAAAGTTTCTTCGGAAAGAATTTTTACGGAAAATTAACTAACGAACGAAGACGTAACAAATTGGTGTCAGAGAGTAGGACGGAAAAGAAAGAAACAAAATGGTAACGAGAAGCGGCAAATCAAACTACAGCTTAGCAGATTTGATGGCAGCAATACAAGAACAGCAAAAGAAACAAGACGAGAAATTACAGCAGTTCTTGGAGGAAAAAGAAAAGAAACAAGAAGAATGAGAAGAGAAATTACAGCAGTGGTTGGAGGAAAAAAAAGAAACAAGAAGAGAGATTAGAGCAGTTGTTGGAAGAAAAAGAAGAAGAGAGAGATTACAGCAGTGGCAACTAGAACAAGAAATGAAACAGGAAGAAAGTCTCCAACAGTTGCAGGAAAGTCAGCAGCAACTACAGGAAAGTCAACAACAGTGGCAAGAAGTACAAATGGAAAATATTAGTAAATTTAAAAGCGAATTAGATACATTAAAGGACGATTTATTGTCTTTTACACAAGGAGGATACATTAACTATCGACTTAATTAGCCCCAGACAATGGCAAGCCCCTTCCAGACCCTGCAGCTAAACCCTAATGCAGACATATTCAGTCCTGTTAGAAGTCACATCCCAGATATGAATGCCAGTAATAGAAGTGATCCAGTACGAAGGAATCCACAGGAATTCGATGGGAAAGCACCGTGGGAAGCATATAAAGCACAATTTGAGCTACTGGCAGAGATGAATGGATGGACAGAGGAGCAGAAAGCAGTATATCTGGCAACGAGCTTGGAGGGACAACCACTAGAAATACTTGGACAGTTGTCAGCAGACGACGGGCACAACTATAGAGCACTGGTAGCGGCTCTAGAACTCAGGTATGGAACCCAAAATCAGTCAGAAGTCTACAGGGCTAGGTTTAGGACGAGAGTCCGTGCTAA